CAGATTCCTCACCATTTTTGCTATCTGGTAAAGAGGTAAAAAGCAGTTTTTCTAGTGGTATAGATCCCCATATTATTATACCATTTGCCAGAAGTTATACTCATGTATTTCACACTTTACTGGCGTTGGCTGCTTGCCATATGTCAAGGACAAATGACCAATGGAAGGTTATTGGGGCTAAATACAAAGGTATAGCGTTAAAGCAACTTCGGCAGCGACTTCAAGGAAACGGAACTGCTATTGATTTTCAGGCTGCTATTCAACCTGATGTTCTCGTTACTATGATGCTATTATGTCTCTATGAGATTGCTGATGACTGTGACGAAAACTGGACCGTTCATCTTAAAGCAGCAAGGGATGTCATTAGTGCTATTCAGAATTCAAAATCCCCATCATCTGGATTGAAAACACTACCAAAAGATAGTACTATAACCCCAAATGCAAATGTGCCTGGAACCAAATCTTCCTCCCTGGAGCCCATCACCAAAATGACCATTCAATTTTTTGCTTATCAGGATATTATTGGGCGTACAGCATGCGGGGAGCCGGCTTTATTTGATCGGCAATACTGGGTTGAAGATGAAACAGGGATTGATGAGTGGATTGGATGTAGTAACATACTGATTGGTATTATCTCTGATATTACTGACTTATCTTACACCAGGCGTCGGTGCTTGAAAAATGGGATATCAGAGGAGCTATTTTTGCAACATGAACAAGAACTCTTGTATAAAGCCCAAATCATTGAAAAAGAATTACACAGCCTGAGTCCCCGTGAAGATATAGATTACAATAGATTGTTTCATCCTTTGAAAAATGGAAAGGTAGCCGATATCAATTACTACACCGATAGACAGCGTCTTCTGTTTTTGTCCGAAGCAAAACGATTGGCAACTATTGTTTTTCTCCACTGCACGTTATATGATAAAACTCCTGCTGATGGAGTTATAAGTGGTTATGTCCAGCGAATTCTCAAGCTGATTAAAATTATAATAGAATGTAATGGCTCTCGTTCATCTCTTATTTGGCCTCTGTTCGTTGCAAGCTGTGAATTATCTCCATTTTATCCCGAAGACGAAAAAGAGTTTCGTTTTGGACGAGCATTTATTTTGGATGCTTGCGATAATCTTAATGAATTTACTATTGGTAATGTTAATAAGACTCGTGAAATTATTGCCAATGTCTGGAAAAAAAGAGATCTGGCTGTCGATAACGTGAGTGGACCTAAGGATGCCTCAGTTGGAGCTAGGGTTGAACTAGACAAGGATGGAGTTTTGATCTATAAAAGAAATGATTGGGAAGAAATTGTTGAGCCAGAGAGTTATAAGATATCGCTAGCTTGAAAAGTTGATTTTTGGTACTTCATATTTGACTTTCAAAACTAAAGCTTATTTAGCTATATCGTTTTACGATTTCTTATGTAATTTCCATCTTGGATTTATACTGACGCTAAACCTAAAGTTACAAATATATAAAACATTTCATTCTTCTGACATAAATAAATGCTTCAACAGGCTATTTTATCTATTAGACTTTTAGAGTTTATTACTTTTAACTGTTTAAATACTTTTCCATATATTAGAATTACTCTTCAATTATTTAATTATATCTGCATGTATATATATATATATATAAAAAGATGCTATGTTACAAAAAGTCATACCTATTTACAAGGTTGACGTTTCCACCAAAAACGTCGAGTTCAAATGAGAAAATTAAACGGTCTCATCCGTTTTCTCAGTTTTAATCGGTTCAGGAGGCGGTACTCGTTTGTTGGTCGTAAACATACCAGTGATAACTGAAGCAGCATAAAAAGCTAATGCCAAATACACAACGGAATGGAATGCGTAAACAAAGCTATTGATAACCAGCTCTTTTACATCGGCAGGAAGAGTAAAAATTTCCTCTGGGTTACCAATAAGACGAGATGGATCTAACAATCTAAGAGCTGCGGAGAATTGGGCTTGCTTTTGGAAATTAGCCTTAAAAGACACGTTCAAAATTGTTTGTCCAACTGATGAGCCAATTGAGGCACCCAATGCTCGAGAAAAGGCTATTAATGATGTGGCAATGATAACACCCCCTCGTTCTTTTGGTGCCCCGACCTGGGCACTAATAGTATTACTTTGAAACAGTAAACCGGAACCAATACCGGGTATTATAAAGATACCGATTCGCTGGCCTAATGTGGAATTTTGATTTAGCAATAGCAGTAAGCCATTACCTAAAGTACCAACAAGGGTACCCGCAATGATGTATGGTTTACACCATCGGGTTTTTGCTAAGGTAGCACCACCAATAATAGAGCTTAAAACTACTGCAATAATCATGGGAAGAAGCTGTAGTCCGGCCGTGAACGGGCCTGCCTCTAAAACTACCTGAATGTAAATACTCAAGAAAACGACCACACACATAAACGAGCCGAAAATGAAAAACATTGTAAGAACACTCATTAATACTCCAGGCACTTTGATGACTTCCCATGGTATCAAAGGATTGCGGGAAAAACGGAAATTGTAAATAGAAAAACAAACCAATAAGACACCACCTAAAGTAAAGCAGACTATAACCTCGGCAGAGCTCCAAGGACGATCAGTACTTCCAAAAGTTAGCGCAAGTAGTACAAGAACTAATCCCGAAACAATCAAAACAGTGCCTATGTAGTCGATCATTAAAAGTTTTTCACGAATAGATCCGCGGGCCTTAGGAGGGTTGAATAAGAAAAATATTAGAGCAGCTGCAACGCCACCGATAGGAAGATTGATGTAAAAACTCCATCTCCAAGTAACATTTGAGGTGAAAGCACCACCTACCAAAGGTCCCACAACCGAAGCAATGCCAAAGGCAGAGCCAACGAGACCTTGTAATAATGATCTTCGGTGCATGGGTACAATTTCTGTAATAATAATGAAAACTAAAACTTGAATACCACCACCACCAACGCCGGCTAAAACTCTGCCACCAATGAGCATGTTCATCGAACTGGCTAAACCACATACTAGAGAGCCTATTTCAAAAATAAAAATAGCGGCCAGCATCGTATACTTTCTTCCGAAAACAATTGATATTTTACCCCAATTTAGCGCCAAGGCACATGTTGCAAGCATAAAACCCGAGGAGATCCAACTAACCTTGTCGAATTCACCAAAATGACTTCCGACTTCTGTGAGCATAGCGGCGATAATAGTTTGGTCTAATGCTACCAAAAACATGCATAGCAGTAATGAAATACAACACAGTGTCAGTTTTGTTCCGTGAAGATAGTGATCTGAGGCAATTGTTCCATCTCCGGCGCTTTCTACAACGGGATTCCGAGACTCCTGATCGTCATTCTCGCCCTTTTCAAGGATTTCGTCAGAGGAAGAAGACCCTTGATTAGCGGGCACGATAACTTCATTTAAAGGCGTTGATTTTTCCAATTGACCGGCCTGATCTGGGTCAGGTCCTGAAGATTTGAAGAGGGATCTCATACGTATTAGTTTTGATTTGATACGAATTCGAGATAGATTTTATTGGTTTTTCGAATAATTAGTGAAGCTACGATTCGCTTTATATATCATTTGAATCGTTTTTAGCATTACTAATTCTTGAGAAAAGGTAGTTTGAGCCAAATGCGGATGCCCTATCATTTTTGCGTGTTGCATGCACGGCTGACGATGGTATATGGTGTTTCGCCCTTAAATCCGAATTTGTTTTTCTTTTTATCCTGCACTAATGAACGTCAAGGTTTATCCAGTGGTGCCGTGGTATTCCTCAAAATTACAATCCTTGAACTTTATTGACAATCTTGATTTTTTTGGGTAGGTAAAGAATTGCCGTGTCTATAGATTTCTTTTTATCTGTATGCTTTTTTCTTGTAATTTTGGTGAACCAAACCACAGAGATCCTGGGATATTGTGCAATGTCAAAAATCGTACGCCAAGAGTGTGGCTAAACGCTCACGCAGTAAACATTAATTTGTATGAGAGTATGATGTTTGGGATCTATGCTATAAATCCGAAATTGTAGCCACTCTCCATAAAATGTCGGAGATTAAGCTACATGAGGCACACTTGAGCCATGCACGATTGCTTAACTCCGTCTTTTTTTAACAGGCATTAAAAGCGAGATATTTGGTATTGATGGAAAAGACCGACATGTCCGAAAGCTTGGTACGCCTCACCATGTACGTTTCAAAAATAGAGCAAGAGTTTTTATTTTTGCCACAATAATCGGTTTCTGTAATAGCTCACGGTTACTCTGCTATTCCTGGAACAATCATTAAAAAAAACCACACGCTCTATAAAACCAAGTCTCCCAAGCAAGTATTCGATCCTCTCTGACGCACGAGGTGTGCCCCTGATTAATAATCTTGAATCAAAACGGCCGCCTCATCTATTTATGAATAGCTATGATAAGGTAATATACCAATAAGCCTCTTTGGCCAAGTGGCTAAGGCGTCGCACTTGTAATGCGAAGATCACTGGTTCAATTCCGGTATGAGGCCGTATTTTTTTCATCAGAGATTTCTCTATCATGCTCAAGGAATCCGCATATCTTGTTAGCATAGTCCTTATATTTTAAATTCCTTTTATTTTCCTATTATTGAAAGCAATCTATAAATTTGCCGGATTAATTATCAATAACATTAATTTTGGAAGTGGCCTTTTTAATTTGTAAAATTTACCGCATAAACGGCTTATTAAACCCTAAAATTCAAAGGTCCAAGTGAACTAGTATTCTTATATTATAATGGTCATTTGCAAAATCAGTGATTTTTTGCAAAAATCGTTTGGCTGGTTTTAAAAATACCAAGTTCTATAAATTGCACAAGGCAACATAAACTACGAGTCTGTCAATATTAATCTTAATTATATCAACGTACATAACCCTGTTCCTTGTGGCCCAATGGCAAGGCGTTCGGCTACGATTTCTGTCTCAGAAGCTTACGTTAAACGTGTGTTCCAAGTCACTACCGAAAGATTCCAGGTTCGACCCCTGGCAAGGAAGCATTCTGATTTGACATTTTGGCCGAGTGGTCTAAGGCGGTAGACTTAAGCTTGTTAGTTATATAACAAGAGTAATCTACTATTCGAAAGGATGCAAGGGTTCGAACCCCTTAGGTGTCAATGATTTTTTAACGTCTTTTTGGTTGGAAAAACATATATCATTGCTGAGAGATCTATTGCCCATTTCTTGATCGTTTGTACACTTTGGCCAGCCCAATCCCACTTGGGTCCCTGTCATTACCGTTTCCCGTTTGGGGCTTGATTGACTCGCTGGCATCGAGTATCATTGTATGGTTTTTTAGTGTCCTGTTGGTTATATGTCTCATCTAACATTTTTTAAGCTTTTTTCTGAATAGATTAATTACTACAATTAGAAAACTACTTTTTCTCCTTTTTTCTATTTAAATTTCGATTTTGTTGTTCCCATTATGTTCCCAAATTGCTTCTCTTTGGACCTCTGTAAAAAAACCTAGAGTTGCAAAAGCATTATATTCAAATATTAAAAAACTAAAAACAAACCGACAAACAAGACAAATAAACAAACAGGTAAAGTAAAATCAATTCCCTACATAAACATATTGTTTTTTCTTCGTTTGGTGAATCTAAACTGATTCTCAAAACATGTTAATGTGTTTCACAGCGTTGAGATCTTGAATGTCCCCATGTAACAATCGTGCAGTAGTAGTGTTCAGGCTGCACAAGATTTTGGAGGTAATGCAGCCAAGTAAAAATTAACACGGTGCTGGGCTTTAGAACAAGGAAAGGATCAAAATGTATAATCAACAGTTTTGCGGAAACAGATAATCCAAGAGTTGGCTATAGAAATACTACTAATCACGATACTATACCATTTTGGAGAAGGAATACACGCTACCAATTGCATTTTGGGATTGATTACATCAGACTCAATTCTGAAGACCGGAATCACCGATGTGCCGGATAAGTAATTGTTTGGCACTAAAAAGGCAGCGACTGAAATATGGCTCAAATCTCCAGTCGTCTTGTATTGTGTCCCGCGGGAAATAATGTTTTAAGCCATTCGCTAGATGGGAGGAGGAGACCTGAACCCAGTATAGCCGTCGTCCACGTGACGTGCAGCTCGGACCGGGCGCAGAAATGCGCTCAAATTGCACTAGCCAAAGTACTTGTCCATTTCGGGGGTTACCGAGCGGGAAATTGGGGAGTAGCCGTATAATTCGAGGATTCCAAATAAACCGATAGCCTAGAATTTGCCACTGGTATTCCGGCCGGACGCTAAACTATCTTTTAGCCGTTCTGGACCAGAAGATCTCGGGGCGTTATGGGCGCTAAAGTGATTGGATGGGCGCACGACACAGCACCGGCGTTGGGGCATCTCTGTCTGCACTCTGAAAATGGTGGGGTAAGTGGCACATATTATTAAAAGCACCATGAATACTGTGCACGATATTTACACTACGGGATACATACGGGACAATTTGGGGTGATAATTGCCAGGGTGCAGAGATTAATAGCTGTTGTAGAAAGGCAAAGGCAGCAAAACATACTGTGGCAATTCCAGCTGGCGGTCCGTTCCTGTTATCCGAGCCCACCTTGAAACGGAAGGGGGCTCTTGAGGGCTATTTGGACACGAGCGCAGAGAGGCTGACACGAGACCCATGGAGAAAACAAAAACAAAAGCAAAAATAACAGACAAAGGACTAATAAATGTTAAAAACGAGATACAGCGTGAGGTGGAGAATCCCCACCACGAAATAGACGGAATTGTCTTTTGACCATGAATCGACTAGTTTTACTACGGGAGGCCCGGTAGTATACTATAACCGCACCGGCACACGCCAAACAGAAAATACAAAAAAAAAACACCCCAAAAAACAAAAAAACTTACAGTGGGGACAACGAATCACCGAGCGCCGGATTACGGGGAATAAAGACAACATAGACAATAATTATAAGCGCGCTCCTGGGATTTGGCGGCCTAGACTGGGGTAGGGTAAAGGTCAGACTGCACATTAGTGGGACACTGCTTTTTTGACGGCGTTACGTTAAAAGCCGGTGGCCAAGCCGATTACCGGAACCCGGCAGTTGCATCAACCGGCGCAGCGGTATTGGCCCGACTCATGCCCCTGAAAGATGACATAATAATGATTACGAGGGGCCCTGAATCGGCCAAGGTCCCGGCCAACCATCGCGCTCTGAATTTGACCCTTTGCCCCGTTGGACTGGGGGGGGAACACAGGGAGGAGGAACCGTAGTATTTTTTGTGATTTTTCCCTTTGTTTTTATATTTTTCGTTTTTTCGTTTTTTCGTTTTTTTTTTCTCCATTCGGTACGTCATTCTCCGTTCCCTCCCTCTTGCTCTCCCTAATTTTTTTTCAATCCACATTCTTCTCTTTTTCTTTTCTTTTCTTCTTGATCAACCCACGTCCATCCTCGAGGATTTTCTAAAGTTCGTTCTTAATCATTCACAATGTCTTCTGCTGCCGTCCGCATGTCCTCAAAGGTCATCCGTCCTACCCTCAATAATCTGGGCCGTCAACAAGCCTCCAAGATCCTCCTCAGATCTTTCACCCGTTCTACGGTTCCCCAGGCTTCCGTCACTGCTTCCCTCAGCAATGGTTTAAACAAGGTCTCCGCCGCCCTCGGCCTCTCGTCGTCGGCTTCCGCCTTCCAAATCCCCGACTCCCAAAAGAAGACTCTTGTCATCGTCGGTTCCGGCTGGGGTTCCACCGGTGTTTTACAAAACATTGATGCCTCCAAGTACAACATCGTCTTGGTTTCTCAAAGAGATTTCTTCCTCTTCACCCCTCTTTTACCCTCCACCCCCGTCGGTACCGTTGAACACCGTTCCATTATCGAACCCGTCCACAACATCATCAAGAAGCAAGGTGGTAAGATCAAGTTTTACGAAGCCGAGGCTACTGCCGTCAATACCACCGACAAGACTGTCTCCATCAAGTCCGTTAACCTCGCCAAACCCCAAGAATTTGACATCAAGTACGACTACCTTGTGATGGGCGTCGGCGCTCAAGTTACCACTTTTGGTATCCCCGGTGTTGCCGAACACGCTTACTTCCTCAAGGAATTAGAAGATTCCAAGAAATTGAGAGCCAGAATTACTTCTGTTATCGAAGAAGCCCAATTCATCACTGACGCCGCCGCCAGAAAGAAGTTGCTTAACTTCGTCGTCGTTGGTGGTGGCCCTACCGGTGTCGAATTCGCTGCTGAATTACAAGATTTCATCAATGAAGATTTATCCAAGACCTACCCTGAATTAGCCAAGGAAATCAAGGTCTCCTTGGTTGAAGCCCTCCCCAACGTTCTTAACATGTTTGGTAAGCAAAATATTAAATACACCCAAGATACCTTCAGAGATATTAAGATTGATCTTCTTACCAAGACCATGGTCAAGAACGTCACCGCCGACAAGATTGATGCCGTCCGTGTCCTTGATAATGGTGAAAAGGAAGCCTTCTCCATCGAATACGGTACCCTTGTTTGGGCCACTGGTAACGCCGTTAGACCCTTAACCAAGTCTATTATGGCCTCTGTCGAAGCTCAAAAGGAAGCCAGACGTGGTCTTATCGTCAACGACTTCCTCGCCGTTGAAGGTACACAAGATATGTGGGCTCTCGGTGATTGTTCTGCCACCAAATATGCTCCTACTGCTCAAGTTGCCCTTCAAGAAGGTAAGTACTTGGCCTCTGTTTTCTCTCAATTAGGCCAAGTTAACGCTCTTGAAGTTGAACTCAAGAACCTTGAAGCCTCCCTCAAGACTGAAAACGATACCGAAAAGATCTCCGGCCTTAAGGGTGAAATTGAATCCAAGACCAGAACTTTAGAAAAGAACAAGCTAGTCACTCCCTTTGAATATAATCACCAAGGTGCTATGGCTTACATTGGTAACGAACGTGCTGTCTTTGATCTTGCTCTTTACGCCAAGAAGATCTACCCTCTTTCCGGCCGTACTGCTTTTGTCATCTGGATGGGTGCTTACAATGCCATGTGTATTACCGCTAGAACCAAGACTTTGGTTGCCTTTGATTGGTTAAAGACTAGGACGTTTGGTAGAGATATTACTAGAGAATAAGCAAATTATTCCCAAAGTAATGAAAAATACATGATATTGATGCCATATTATTTGTTTGTTTAAGAAAAGATAATTATAATATTGTTTATTATTATTAGTTACTAAAGTTATCAAATCTGTCTATAGTCATTTTTTTGTTTTTTTTTCGGTTTTGTTTTATTGTTGTTTGTTCATGCCCCCTTATATATATATCCTTTATTTCTCTAAAGCTTCATTTCCTTAGTGGTACTAATACCGTTCTAATTAGATGATGGCCTAATCTAATCAAAATTTTATTCAAGAAACGAAAACTGATATATGAGTAAACATCCCAATCCCTAAATTTAAAAAATTTCTGTAGAAAAGTATGTGGCAGGTTTTGTGATAGAAAACGGCCCAGTGGAATGGCGTCGAATCTACGCAACTTACATTCCTGCAGACCCTAGAAGTCTATGTTTTGAGCCCCTTTTCGTTTGACAAGTACCTTTGCTGGCCAAAATACCCTAATTATTCAGGGTGAACCCTTTCAAAAATTGTGTTTTCTGGCCTTTTTTTATTTTTTATCTCTATACAATAATGTCTTCGAACGCTAACTGGGATTACTACCCTGACCAGCGATACCCTAGCCAGCCCAATGTTCAACCCGAAACCACACAAGCCGTGAACTACAATGCCAACTCCACCGGTGGCCAAAATGATCCCTATTATAGTAATCAAGGCACGAGATCTCGCGAAGGGCACTCTGAAAATTATCCGCAACAACATCAGCAATATCAACAAAATCAACAGCAATTCCAGCAGCAACAATATAATCACAACGCTTCGAGACTACAGCGTAGAAATGATGATTACGTTCAACCCGATGCTAGTTACGTGCCTCGAAACGACGGCTATGGTAAACCTCAACAACCACGATACGAACAGCAAAAGCATATTCAGCAACCGCAGCAGCAATATCAACAAGAACCTCGTCAACATTCCGTCCCAGTTCAGAGCTCCATGCCTCGTCAGCACAACCCAGCTTTTCGTCAAGATGGACTTCCTCGACAGAATAAAGCACCTCCTCAGGATG